TATGGCTGTGCAATCCCCTCTCAATCACACTGCTCATGTGACAATGAAACGCAAGACGTAATAACCGCATCAGATGTCACTGAGGTGCTGGCTAGTTTAAACCCCTATAAATCGGGAGCCCTTGTCAGCGCTCATTCTGCGATTGTTAAACCGTTCGCCGATATTCTCCAGTACTCCGCCTTGGGCTCTTTCAACGGCGAAGACCACAGAAGCGTTTAGGTTCCGAGTCTTCGTCCCTCCCCTTCTCTTTAGCTTCCCCTTCCAACAACCATCAAAAAGGTGATATTAGCATGTTACTTTTTAGAACTTTCAAGTCTAGGTTGCTTAATGTCTTACTTTTTTGTATTGCGGCATATTAGCGGAGGTGTATCTCCAACCCTCGGCTAACGTGTATTGATGATGATGATGACATTTGGTTATAAACAAAGCAACCGTAGCGGGACATCATCGCTTCACCAAAAAGTAGTCTTATAAGCCTGTTGTTTTTGGATGAAATAACCCGATGCCTTGATATCGGGGTTCCAATAGAGGTCTGCTATCTAGATTTCAGTAAAGCATTTGACTCGGTTAATCATGGATTTTTATTAGAGAGCTGACTTGGTTTGAATTGTATCCCCAGCAGATGACTTGGTTGTCGGATTTCTTGTGACAGAACGTTCAGTGTCACAATTGCTGAGGCAAGATTTAGCATGGGCACTGGTTATAGCGGGGTCCCCCAAGGTTAAGTGCTAGAACCGTTGTTTCTTGTTTATAAATGACCTAGCACACTCCTCGAGAACCCTTACTGCTTTTGCGGACGATGTTAATCCTGTCAGTAGGGGATAAAACACGCTGCCTAGTGAACTGGGCACTATACCAAAGTGGTCTGAATTATGGAATTTGCCAATGAACGCGAACAAATGTCAGCTCTTATCACCAAGTAATGTTGGGACCCCAGTGCAAACATCCAGTGGGTCCCTGACATTGCACTGTGTAGACAACGCGAAGGACTTGGGCATTGTCACGGTAGATAGCTACAGGCCGTCGGTCCAGTGCCAACATGCTGATAACAGAGCGCGGCAGGAGCTTTTACGCCTTAGGATAGCACTGTGTAACACTAAAACTTAGGTCTTTCTTTCTATATACAGAGTGGTGGTTCGGCTGCATTGTAGTGTGTGGTGTTTAGGCTAGGACACCGTGTCTCCGAAAAGATGCCACTTGCTTAGGATGTTACAAAGACGGGGCACCCGAATGACTGAAGGCCAGCGTGAAAAGTCGTGTGTTGATCGCCTGGATTTTTTAGGTTTGTTCATTGAGACGACGCAGGCTAAGGGATCTGACAGGAACGTTTATAATGGCGGGTCTGTACCATGAAGCCTGCCGATATTTTTGAACTAGCTACGTCAGACTACCTGCAGGGAGACCATTTGAAGCCCATGAAGCATGTTTAGACTTGATACCCAGGCGAAACTTTTCACAACGCGTAGTACCTAGTTGAAATGCGATAAGACAGAAGTTTTTAAAAGGGACTAGATATGGGGTGTGAGTGGAACTGTGGGTGGTGCAGCGCAAGCCACCCATGGTCCTTCAGTAGACGCAGGCGTCCTGTGGCTGTCCCCATGGAGGCCACAGTGGCAGGCAAATCCGGACACGGATGCCGCCAATCCAGATATGAATTGGTCGACTCTGTTTCCGGATTCGCATTAAGATTAATGGGTACCAATTAGTAACAAATAGCCCGTGGTCGACAGGATGTCATGGATAGTTTCATGGTGTTATGTGAGGTTGGTCTTACTCTTTTTTGTTTCTGCAATAGCGAATTAGTTTGTATGTCGAAGTGCCGAGGACCCTGGCTTGGTCACCGGCACACGGAATCAAAAGCTTATTAAGCGAAATCTTGTTTGGCCCCTGGAGACTGACCTGACTTTATGATACAGCAAACATTTGTTGAAGAAAAAAGCTCCGCAGAAATGAAGGGAGAGTTTTGGTATTGGCGTCTTACTCACGATGTCGCAGTGTTGGTTAACGTACATTTGTGGCTTTTCGAAGGAGAACGACAGCTAGGTGGAAAGTAACCACTTCGTGGATCAATGCCGCTCAGGTGTTAGTTGGGAAGGGATAAACTCGGACCATCCAGCTGGCACTATTAGTCAATTTGGTACCAAGTCGACAAAACGTACTTAACGTAACTGCTAAGTGAGGCTATAAGTTCAAACACACGATAGAATTGAGGAGCGCGTCAGACTGGTGTAGTCAGTTATGAGTCAGTCGCGTGCTATTGATAGCTACACAGTGAAAGCCTGGCCTGGAAAACTGTACCGATTAGTCTTCATATCCTTAGCATTAGCAGTGATTAATGTCAATAACGAGATGCAACTCGCTGTCGAGTGATGAAAATGACAAGGTCAGGACACGAACTGGAGCATACTCTATTGTCACGTGTCCGATTAGCGCACAGTGAGTGTCCGATGGGCGCCCGAATGGCAAAGAATTGTCATTCACCGAGAAAAATTGTGCGGGTCCCCTTCGAAAACCCATTTTGTTTCAGATTTTGCCCTCTAGGAATAACCTAACCACACTAACTACCCTCCCACCACAGCTGACTAAATTATTACAATTCCACACATCTGGAGATATGCAAAACACGTAGCGACAACATTGTGCACTAAAGAGCAAGTAATTTACTGATCAGGATCTTGCTGCGCAAACTGTTCAGTCTCCGGTTGTTGCCACGTTTTCGGCTATTTAAGCGTGGGTTTGTACTTTAATGAATGTGTACAAAAAAGGACACCTTTTACGACCACCCGATGAGTGTCCGGCATCGGGCGCAGGAGTGAACACTGGTGCTAATAGGGAAATGCAAGTTGATTAATTGTAAAAAAAAGCCCGCAGATATTAAGGAGCATAACTACCATACTCCGAAGAAAAGCCAACTAACGGGCTAACCTTCATCATATTACATATTTACGAGCGTGACAGCAACTTTGGAAGCATGCTTGGGACCACTAAGATCACAAAAAACGCATGAAAGTAGATAACCGAGTACAAAAAACTGAATCCACGAGCATAGCTCATAACGACCCTTTAAACACCGACTGAGGGAATGACTACTAAGTGGACCGCTCGCTATGGTATTTCAGAAATCGCTTCTGAATGAAAGGAAGCTGTCGTCTGTTCCATCTTCAAAAATGGGGACAGGAGTCTGCCTGCTAATTACAGGCCAGTTAGTCTGACGAGTATAGTAGTCAAACTCCTCGAGAAACTGGTGAGAAATTTATTGGAGTCATCTGAGTAGATTTAATCTATTTAGCAATGTACAACACGGTTCCGGAAGGGATTTTTGTGTCTGACGAATCTATTGGTGGCTCGCGAAAGTTGGACGGATACAGTGGATAACGGCCACGCACTGGACCTGCTTTTCGTCGACGTTTCGAAGGCATTAGACAAGGTACCCCTTTTGAGGAACGCGTAATCGCTGACCTCCTACGGGATATCTGGCCGCGCCCTTCACTGGGTGACTGCCTTCTTGAATGATAGAGAACAGTGTGTATGGATAGGCCGTAGCCTATCGTTTAGGTAGCCTGTCCTCAGCGACGTGCCGCAGGGCTCGGTCATTGGACCGCTGCTGTTTTCCATCTATGTGAATGACCTACCCGCGGAGCTGGAGGTACCATGGTTGCTATTTGCTGATGACCTGACACCGTGGAACATTGTCGATGTTCCTGGGGGTTCCGAAGCTATTCAGCGAGCCTTGAATAAGCTTTGGGACTGGTCCAATTTATGGTTCCTGTCCATAAATCAGGCAGAGTGCTCCGTCCTACGAATTGGAGGTTGTCCTCCTGCGAAGTACTTGGTCGGTGGGGTCGAACTCCCCAGTGTAACTAGCCAGGTTGATCTGTGTCGTACGCTTATCGGCTTTACACTCCGGTGACAACTGAAAGAAGGCCGCAAGCAGAGGTTTCCGCATGTTGTGGTTATTACAACATTGTTTCTGAGTCTTGACGGGCGGCTCTTTACGAAACTGTTCTCGGCTTTCGTGCGGCTTCATCTGGAATAGTGCGTCGACTTGACCGCCTCGTCCCGGACAAAATGGAGATAGGGTTTGAAGGGTGGGTAATAGGCTAGTTGAGGGGCTACGGGGACGGACGTACCCCGAGCGTCTACTTAGTTTGGGAATGTTTTCAATGCACTACCGGGCTTAGAGGAGACGTAATCCTAACCTACCGTATCTTAACTAGGAAAGTTTATCCAGATTTGTATTGGCTATTCAGTCCCGCTAGATTGTCTGATCTACGCGGTCATTCATTGAAGCTGGACAAACCGCGATCCGATCGGATTAGGGCGGAAATGCAGGTGTCACGCCGACATCGAGTGCTGTAACATGCTTCCGGAAAGTCTTATCAGGGAATCTACGGTTAAGGGGTTATAGCAGCAACTAGACGCACTTGGGTGGCAACACGAAAGCTTTCACTTTTGCTGACTAACACGCATCTTCATACTTCGACTTTCTTTGCTCTACTTTTCTTCATGCATTGGTATTATTTTCTTATTTCAAGTGCACTTCTCATCCTGTACCTTCGATTTCTCTTCCTATCCTTTGCTTACTTCACGTGAATGTCATAGCAGGGACTGCTAGGGCAAGAAACGTGGGCATTAACTGGCTGGGAAGGGTGCGATACGGGTGTTCCGTTTGATAACCATCAATAACTCTGACCACTTCACCAATTCGTGGCTCAACGATCCACTCAAGATGGAACACTCACGGGATTCTCCTATCGTTCCAGTCCCACCTGAACTTGAACTACAATGAGCGCCGAGCCGTACAGGGGGCAAAATATCGGCGGCCCAGGTGGAGGTCGCACTAATGATGCATATGTTGACCTATCACGGAGATTGAGGATAAAATGTGGTGATTAATAAAGTAAGCCAAAAAGTACGAAACAAATTTGCGGATAAAACCAGGTGTGACAAACGGTTGAGGGAGAAACGTAGGTGAAGTTGAAACGGATTGGTAAGCATACCTGTCCAGTCACCTTCAATATGCCATTCGTAGAAAAAGATTAGCTTTCCTTTGCGGTTATTAACATGCGATTCTCCCTCACACTTTGTTATACACAAACTATTGCACACAACTGCGAAGGATAGCATGGTAATTAAACCACCTTACATGATTCATTTTCCACGGAAAAATTCTGGAATAGTTCTTTAATAACATCAATAGACCACTGTGTTGCATTCTTTTCTGTCCAATGCCAATTATTGACATTTTTTGCGTCAGCTCTTTCCTCCACAATCCAACGAGGGTCACCTTCACCCCACCTTGCCATCCCGGTAAATCGAACCGCGAAGAAAAATCCTGAAGTGAGCGCGGGATCTAACAACTCAAGGCTGAATGTCTTGTGGTGTAACGTAAGCAAATCTTTAACAAAAAACAAGAATGGTATTCAAAACAACTAAATAAAACATTATTACATTATGGTTTTCAGTCAACTTGTGACAGCACTTGACGCATTACTACGAGTTATGTCAGCTAATATATCGTAGAACGGAGCGTTAAAATATCACATACAACACATACAAATCAACTTAGAATTCGGTTAAAGTTTCTCCGAGTAATAGCTAGTTTGTCTACTAAGGGCTTTGCTACCAATTTTGACTATTCCGGTTTTTCGGAGTACTACAAATCCAAATGCCAAAGACGCAGAAAAAGTAGTAATAGCCCTTGAATGTACCATTATGACAGCGTGGTTGACCAAGGCTATAGTTCGATGAAAGGATTCGATAAAGTCAACTCGGCAAGCACGTATCACACCCGCGTCAAGCGTTAAATGACGACGCGTTCGGCCCTGACAGACATCAGCCTGAGAGTTATGTTAGGTAGAATAACTTATTAAAAATTAATACCAAAAAATAACAAATTTATAGCAACTGAATAATTGTATTGCGTATAGTATGCGCCTGTGCGTTGTTGCGGCTTTCCTTAAAAGCTTGAATTAAGGCTTCCAATTGTTTGGATTGCGTCAAAGGTGCTGTCGAGGGCTGTGCCAAGCAAATTAATGGTGCATGGGGCAATTAGTCGGCTGCGACCTCAACGCAGAGCTTTACATTCAGCTTCAGCTTTGCACCCCCCTAATTATCTCATCTTGTTTCTCGTGCAGAACTGCGGGAAGTAGCAACCGCCTGGCAACCAATCTACGGTCACTCTCGTCTTGTTTTTGTTCAGCATTAGATGTGCTCCCCAACAAGGATGAACCTCACTCACCGCGCTCTCTCGGACGTTGATACATCGAAAGGTCAGAGTCGACCACTCTCCGGTAACCTGCACCAGGGCAAATCACGGATGGACGGAGCCGCTCGACAAACGCGAACTAATCTGCGCTTGTTGATGCTTTACATGAATTACCAGTGAAACTGTGGGAGCAGGAGACTGACCCAACCGACTGCAGCCGCTACGTTATTGTTCCAATCTTCTAAGGAAGCTCGCGTTCTGAATGCAGCAACCATAGAAGAATCAGTCTGATCTCTATCGCCTCCAAATTACTCGCCTACATAATTATTCGTAGAATGACTGGCGCTCGTGAAATCCAGATTCGTGGAGAGCTAGCGGGGTTTCGTCGGGGTCGTGGATACATGGAGCACATCTTCACCTTGCGTCAGTTGTTAGAGCACCGTCATACATATTGGCGGCCCATCATAGCCGTGTTCCTCGACATCAAATTTGCCTTCGATTCGGTTGGTCGATGTGCCCTTTGGAATGGTCTACTCAGGAAAGGTGTGCCCGAGAAATATATAAATATTATCCAAGCTTTATACGCGCGTGGCACGGGCAGAGCGTGGGCTTACGGCAAGCTGTCGCCACCCATCAATACCTACAACAGTGTGAGACAAGGTTACCCGCTGTCACCATTTCTTTTCAACTTCGCTAGTGACGAGGTCATGGAGATTGCATTTACAGGACATGAATTGGAAGGCGTGGAGCTACACCCAGGAGAACGACTTCTTAACCTGAAGTATGCAGACGACATTGCCCTCATCTGTGACAGCTCCCAGAGGTGGCAAGCCGCGCTGGACAGATTAGCACTGGCTGTCAGCCGCTTCGCGCTTTGCTTCGCACCATCGAAATGCAAAGCGTTTCTCTAAGGTTGGCAGGGTTGGCCTCCTGCGTTGACCCTTGGTGGGGATCAGCTAGAAGTCGTTCAGAAATTCAACTTCCTGGGAAGTTGTATCAGTGCCCTTGGGATCGAAGACGAGATGACGAACAATATAGCAAAAACTTGGAGTGCTTTTGCTAACCATCGCCACCTATGGCGGCGGCGCGACATTAATCTCTCCCTGAAGGGTAGCGTGAACAATGCAGCGGTACGTTCGACCTTACTGTAGGGTTGCGAAACCTGGTTCCTAAGGTCGGCGGACATGAAGAGGCTAGTTACGTTCGATCATCGGTGCCTTCGCAATTTGGCCCACATCTGGTAAGAACACCGCGTGAGTAACGAGCGTGTTCGACGCCTTGTTTAAAGCACAGAAAAAGGAACTGAACCGCTCAGTACCGTCATTTCACGCACCAGGCTCCGATAGCTCGGCGAAGTTTTGCGCATGCCAGCCGACCGACTTCCACGAGGTGCGTTGTTTGCTCGCCGGGGATGTGAATGGAAGAGGAGGGAAGGTGGCCAAGCGATGACTTGGTCCAGAGGAATGATGACTCTCACTTATGAGCTAGCCTCAGTTGGAGCGTCACGGCTCCCTTGTTGGGGTCCAAAAGACGAGGAGCACGTTTGGCTAGATACACTTGCTGACATGGCTAGGAGCCGAGGTTAGTGGCATTCCTGTTGTGGGTTTCTTTGTCCCTCCCCGTTCCTTTTAGCCACCCCTTCACCTACGATCTAATATCGCAGCGTAAAACATTATACTTTTACTTTTCGCCCAGTAGCTGGCTTGAAGCTTACGGGAACGTTGCCTATCCGTTGCTGGTAGCTCAGCTGGCATGCAAATTTTTTAAATAAATAAATAAATAAATAAATAAATAGTATATTCTCTGTAAAACGAGACACACCTCTAAAAGGCATGATCAAATATGCATACAAGCATACAAGCACAGCTTCTTTGGAATATTAAAACATTTCGTTACAATGAAAGGAATAAACGAAAAGATGTAGTCCATAAGAGCGAGCATATTGTCAGGTAATAGTCAGACCAAGGATCATAATGGCGCCGTGGCGCGCAAAAACTGTTGCGTCAAGATACAAGTGGGGGGTAAATTTGACATGTAGTGATCCATGAGCACAGGAGCCCGAACAAGGTTTAGTGCAATCAATGACCATTACGAAGCCGGGATGATCGGTACTCCACTAAAGCATTCTTCATAGTAAAATCAGTTGCACAGGTTCGATGTTGGAGGCTGAGGACTGCGTCAGTGTGAAATGTATGAAATGTATAGCAGTGACTTTATTTTGTGGCGAGTCACATCCGCCACGTTGCAGTGTTGTTAAGCGGACATTTGTGGCTTTTTATAGGGAGAACGCTTGCCAGGCGAAAACCCACCACGTCCTGGAACACTGTCGTAGCTTCCGTTGAACTGTAGTGCTAGTCGGCTATGCATCGTATAGACCGATTTTGCACTCTATTATTCGCAGTCGGTTGACAGCCAAAATTTTTCGTTGGTTGGCCAAATGGCTTAGTACTGAACCGGCAATAGTCGTTGAAGCCAGTCAATGATGTAAAGGAGTCCCAGAGTCGAATGATAATGATGCGGGTGAGTAAACATATTGGTAATAGAGGCCGGCTTTTTCTATTATGTTGTCCGGCTCGCAACCCGTGTCCAGCTATCCATGCTGGACTTGTCATAGGGACGGTGAGTGCAGTTGTTTCTTGTGTCTGAATATGTCCAAAACAGGAATAAATGCTATTCTCCGCGAAGTGGACAAGTGTTTCCTTCAAATGTAAGTGTAATTGTCTCCATAACCAAGTGAGAGCTCCAGGAAAAATCATCGGAAAAGCCGCTTATGCGCGCGCAGTGCTGTCCGTGAAATGACATCAGAAAAGCTCCAGGTGACTGGAGAATCGGAATGTTTGAGGCAGTGAATGTAATCACGCCAGAATTGTCAGTCTCCGGTTGTGGAACAGTGGATCCATGTAACTACATTATTCCTGGTGAGTAAATTGTTCTACTTTGAGTACGAGGCGAGCTAAACCCATTTGTTTAGACCCCGTGGTGGTAGCTTCTCCAGAATGGCGGAAAGAGCTCCATTTGGAACGATGTGTGGGTTCTTCATCTCCCGGAGAAAAGAACAAGCATGTAAACCAGCTGGCTATTGAAAGTGGGTCGACTATTCATAGTGGATAAACCTTCTTGTTTTGGCAGATGTATCTGTGGAAATCTCGAGAGAAAACGGGCAACGGACAAGAGGCAGCCAAACAGAAAGACAGCAACGAAGCAAGAAGCACAAACACAGACTGGTGGCGCGCAACGGTGCCTATGATACATTAAAATTTATGTAATTTTGTTTAGTATACATGATTTGCAAGCGCGTTCTTTACATCACGTCGCTGGTGTGCCTCAGACTACAACTACTAGGTAGAAAGAAGAGTATAACAAAGCGTGTAGACAACGTTAAGCGATTAATATGATTATTGGAGAGTAACAGGTAAACCGATGATGATGACAGCAGACCGAATGCGAGCGGCATCTTAGGTGAAACTAGGGACAACAAGGTTGAGACCGAATGCGGGAGCAACATAGGTAGAGCAACGTTCCAAGAAGAAAAGGAAATTTAAGGAATCAGCTATGAGCGGAAGAATGCGGACGGCAGTGCGAAGAGTAACTCATGAGAGCAATTAAGAGACGATAGCCAGGATGCAAAAGGTTTACTACTAAAGTGTGGTGAGCCAAGGACGCTCTCGTGCGAAGTATGAAAGGTTCAGTGCTGAAATAGCACCGGTAATATCCCGGTAATCTGAGAGAACCCTAAAGGCGGAGACCAAACAGACGAGACTCGAGAAGTCGACACATCCGGAGGCCTCGTAGTAGTCCCAGAGAATTACACTGATAAGATGATGACAAAGAAGGGCATGGCACTAAGCGTCGGTCATCCGATTGAAGATGTGAGAGTACAGGTTACTGATGGAAGTGCCTATATTAATAAAGGGTAAACAAGTCTAGCGGGCTGTCAATGTAAGCAAGACATAGTTGTGAGTCTAGAGAGATTAGATCGGTATATCTTGCTAGTCTGGAAAAGGTCAAAGGAGCACACCGGTCAGATGAGACTAGGTTATTACAAGGCACTAAGAGTTGGCAGTCCGATTAGAGAAGAAATGAGAGTAGAGGGGCCATAAGGAGAGGAGACGGTCCGGATAGAGAGAGGTTTACTTATAAGGTGTGGAAAAGTCCACGGGGCTCGAGAGGTAATGGGTACGGAGCGTTCAGTCTTCCGAGCATAGCAGGCAGCGTCGCAGAAGTAGGAGAGAAGAAGACCGAGCTGCCGAGGTTGGACTTGGTCGGCGCATTGTGATTGAGTCCTATGGTTCATTTGGGAAGTTAAGTGGAGTCAGTAGGATTGGACTGGTCAGAGATAGAAGTGGTTATATCAACATAGGGCGAACAAGTTCAGCAGGATATCAAGGTGAGGGAGGAAGTGCTTTGGATCGACGGAGCCTAGACCGCTAACATCCCGGTAGCCTGGTAGCAGTCCCATAGAATTTGGCTGATCAGCTGAGGCTGAGTTATTTTCCTTTTTCCTTTAGGTATTGCGG